TCCCTACACTTTTAAGTACCCTCATACTTTCCTGCTTTAGCAGGAATTTTCTAATTTAGTTTTTTTAGCAGTGGGTGAATTTTTAAACACGTGGATTTTGCTAGATTTTCTATTTCTTTTTATAAACTTTTAAATTCTATAGTGACAGGTAAACATTTATGGAAGTGAGTAAAAAGATTCTAGAGTAAAGCAAGGAATGCTTGAAGGTGAGGTATTGATACACACTTTCTGGTTTTGCACTGTTTTACTTGAAGAGACTGCATTATTACATGCTAATGTGTTTTGTATCATAATTATAAACTTCAATTTGGGGAAAAATATGTCTGGATTCCAGAATTTGTCAAAATCGTGAACCGTGCTCTTAGTGTCAACTAAAAAATAACATTTCTGCTGAGTACATATTTAAGTGGATATTTAGAAGTTCAAATAGATTTATACAGGTTATACAGGAAATATTAATGCAGGAAAATAATTCTAAGATTGCTGATGATATAAATCTTTCATAAAGAAGAAAGACCCTACAATTATGAGTGAAGTTGTCCTAGATAAAGTTTAGTGAGTTTGGGGATCGAATCTCCTTATTATCATTAAGCTTTTTAAGACCATGGAATATAGTTGCTATAATGGGCATAAAAGAACAAATCCTAATTTTAAATACAAATTGTACCTGAAAAGGCATACTTAAGTGTTCACCTCTCTAGTCCAAGCAGATTTGACACTTGGGGAGCGGGTGGTGGAAGCTGGTTTTGTAAAGCGAGTGGAAATTTACACTTTTCCCATTAAAATTTATGCCTTCTTATGGTACTACTAGGACAACTTTAGGGAGTGAGAGAATATCCTAAGATATAGTAAGCTTTTTCTTTTTAGGTTATTCTGTGGATAATCATTTAGGTATTTCTAAGAAATTTCAGTCACCATATGGTATGGGTGGCTAGTTTGTTTCTGAAATGGAGTTGATTACACAGAATGTGATTGTTTGACATTATTTAGCAGAATGGATGACAGCATCATAGCTAGTGTGTTTATTTTAAAACAAATGTACTTATTTAGCTTTTTGTTTTGATAAAGCAAATATTTTGTGGTTTTAAGCATAGAGTGAAGTTTCAAAAGTGAAGCTTTAAGAGTGAAGTTAAAAACAGGGCACTAACTGATACTTAGTTTTGGTAGAAATTTTGAAATCAACCAAATAAAGTAAGCTATATTTAAGATAATTTAATTTAAATCAGTGAGAGAGAAAACACATTTTAATTTTTTTCACTGTTACAGGAGAAAAAATGAAATGCTATTAGTTTAAATGTGTTTGGAACACACTTTTTAAGTTACAGGGAAATGTGATAGGATCATTAAAAAATTGAACTGTAATTTCCAAGACAAATCTGCGATTTAATCATAAATAACTTGACTCCAAATTAATATCATTTAGCCTCTAATATTAAATTTCTGAAATTCCACATTAACATTTAGAAGGTAAGGGGTTAAGGCCAGATTTATGATAAGAAGGTGGTTAGCTGAATTAACCAGCATTGTTAATTAACCTGCAGATTTTTACTGGTTTTCTCTGCTTCAAATTGGTAAATAGAAAATTTGGATAATCTGCAAACTTATAAGAAAATAACTGAGCGTTGCATTTTTAAATTTTTTGCTAATTAAAGCTGCTGAAAATGCATTTTTGTAATCTATTTTGGTTATTTTCTTTGGTTACTATGTTTTTAAAGGCTGTGTTTATGAAAAATATTCTAAAGTGAGAGTCTCTCTCTTATGGTTGATGGAAAAACAAGTTTATATTTAGTAAAAATGTAGATCCTTGATGTTTTAATGAGACATGGGTGAGTGTGTACGTGTTGCTTAAGACTAGTTTTTATATATGACACATTAAAGTTGTTGCTGAGCATAATTGTTGGGGGTGGGTGGGAACATGCAATGGTATCTTATGAGATAGGGCAATGTCTCATACGTTAGTCTGTGAAAAGTTCAGGAGTATATAGTAAATGGCTTATCTGTTTTATCATAAGGAAACAAACTTCTGATTAAAGGTGCAAAGTGTACCACTGTCATCTGCATACTTTATCAGGAATCAAAATAATTGTCAAACACATGTATAACAGTCTTGTGAATGCTACCTGATTAAGAGTTCTTTTCTGAAAGAATATCTGCCCTCAACTCAAGACAGTACTCTGGCAACAAGTGAATTTTAAATAGAGGCGTAAAGACATAAAGCACAGAGAGTCTGGCAGAGGCCTTTTGAGAATTTCTTTGGACTTTGCTCATTATGAGGTTTAAAGGTGACAGAATTTCAGCCTTTCCTTCTCCATGTGAATGATAGTGGCCACTTGCTTATGAACTATTTCTCTTCAGTGACTCAACTGTAAAAGGTCAAGGAGAATAGATGATAAAATTCTCATGAGACCAACTGACGAATATTTCCCTCCTTCCCTCCTGCCTTTCCTTCTTTTCTTCCTGAACCTTAATTGTCTATAGATTGGATATTACACATGGGATTGAGCTTTGCAGCACTGATGATAAAGATGACTTCAAGCAACGAAAAGAGAAATAGGTCTAGTCTTCAGCCACTGAATTAATCCAACACTGAGTGTGTCTGTGAATGCAAGTGAAGGTATCTTTACCCTTGGTAAAAAACAGACAAAATTTGTAACATTTGTATAGTTCTTAGTTCAGTCCCATCAGCTCGGTATCCTCAAGACTGTGGATCAGTGAGTCCAACTATACTTTTTGTTTGGCAGTGTTAAGAAGGAAGATGTTTCCCTTAAGGTATATGTATCTTTTTTAAGTGGATGCTCACGTCCCAGAGCAGGTATGTCTCTCTCAATTTACCACTATATTCTCCAAACACTGGAATATACAGAGGTACCTAGAATTTCTTGAGTTATTAGATATTATATGATTAATAAATATGATATGTTTCAACATATAGTTTTAATTATACAATTTTTACCATATGGAAATTGTATTGAAGGGGTGTCTCTCTATTCTTTTCATATATCACAGAACACAACTGGCTGTTCATTCCTTTCTAATTATTGTGACCACCTTACACATTCATTTTTGAAAGATTCTAAATCAATGCTGTTTTATTTCAGTTACATGTTAAGAAGAATTTAATATTTTTACCTATCGTTTTAACATAAAATAAACACAAGGCACATGCCTCTCTCCATTAATGCATTTGTACCACTTAATTATAAATTTCTTTGTGATGGATACAATATCAGTCAGAAATGTGCAGCTATATACTTTATATCGTGTAATTAAAAATCAAAATTGTTTCCTACTAGTATTTCC